ACCTCAAATACTATGTAACTATGTAACTATGTAACTATCTTCAAGCCATGATGAAGGGGGTGATGTTGGGCTCCCGAAACGTGTTGGCTTTCTCATCTGATCAGGAGCCTGACCTAACATTTGCATAACATTGTATCTGGACTATGAACCCGTGGTGTGGACCCTTCTACCTCAGATCCATTGTTTTATGCTTCGGCTTGAACTTTAAGGATCACAGGTCACCTGTAGTCTGGCGGTCACTGCCCTGCCACATGCCTGACCTCACACAATGGATAGCTCTATAAAGTGAGGATGGCTTTGCTGAGGACGGCAGGAAAACACATTTAACAGGCGCTGGGATTGCACATGCAATGGTTCGGCAAGGAAATCTTCCATATGAGCTCACTAGTAAGTAGGGATGAGATCAGGTTCAGACCAAAGCTCCTCCGAGCAATGAAGGAAGCTCCTTCCGCTGCCCTGGAGGAATTCCCAGCCCGCGACAGCATGTAAACAAAAGGGCGGGATGCTGCGACATCATTGACCTTATATGGCCATAGAATGACAATAACAGCAGAAGCATCCCACCCCTTTGTTTATGTGCAGCTGTAGGGGTGGGGGGGGTCGTAAATACCCCAGCCTGCAGCTGATTGGGCGGGTGGCCAATGGAACCTCCATGCCCAGAGGAGCTCAGGGTTTGGTTCAAACATGAGCTCATCCGCACTGGTAAGGCAGCTCTCGAAACACACAGGCCTACCTCAATGGGTACTCAGAAGCAACATACAAATGGGTGCCAAACCACAAAATTAAAGAGTCAAAAGTGCGTTTAATTGTAATAATGTCACATAAAAACTTCCAACTCGTTTTTGGGGAAACAAAACTCCCCTCTTCCTCAGGGCTCAGAAGAATGCGAGTCATTGCATGCTGCCCAGCTTCCTGATTGGCCGGGAAGCCGGGCAAAATGACGAGGGAACATGGAGCCGGCTTCCCGGCAATGTGTAATGAGTCGAGTCATTATCCGCCCCCCCGACTTTCTGATTGGTCAGAAAGCTGGCTTTCATGCTCCCTCGTCACCTGGTGACGAGGGCGTGGCCAATCAGGAAGCTGGGCAACGAATCATTACCTGTCCCCCGGCTTTCCGATAGGCCAGAAAGCTGGCTTTCATGCTTCCTCGTCACGAGGGGGCATGGATCCGGCTTCACGGCCAATCAGGAAGCCGGGTGCCGGGTAATGACTCCTTGCCCTGATTGGCCAGCTTCTTGACCAATAAGGAAGCCGGGCAACAAGTCATTACACGGCGCCCGGCTTCCTGATTGGCCAGAAAGCCGGCTCCATGCTTCCTTGTCACCTGGTGACGAGGGAGCATGAAGCCGGCTTCCCGGCCAATCAGTTAGCCGGCCCCATGCTTTCTCGTCACTTGTTGACGGCTTCACGGCTGATCGGGAAGCCGGGTGGCGACTCTTCACACGCAGCCCCGGTTTCCCGGCTAATCGGGAAGCCAGGTGGAGAGTCATTACACGCCACCTGGCTTCCATAATGTAGCTTCCGGTATCGGCGAGTACAGAAAAAAAAATATTGGTACTCGATATCGAAAAACCGGTATTGGTGCATCCCTAATAACAATGTATTTGGCAGCAATCAGTGCTGCAGCAGCCCTGCCTGATGAAGGGGCAGTTTTGTTGCACCTGAAATGCATTGGATGTTCTTATGTGACGGTATTACAAACAATTGAAGCCACTTTGGACTCCTTCATTTTGTAGTAGGCGCCCATTTGTATGCGTATACCTCGAGTAGCTTTCTGGAGGAGACATTGATGTACACCAGGCCTCATTTACCAAACAGATGAACATAACAGCCAATCAAATGTGTTCATTCGCTCTCCCATGGAGTATGAAAGGAAGAAACTATATGTGGTTCCTATAAGAGACAATGCACACTTCCTGAAAAAAGGAATCTCAGTATTCCCGGAACTTCCTACCTCTTTCAGCGTGATTTTGGCGGTGTACACAATGTTCGACCCGTCTCTCTTGAAATGCGCGTGAGCTTTGTCCTTCAGTAGGAACACGATGTCTGCGGGGATGTTTTCGGACGTGGCGTCGCCCTCTTTCGGGAAGGTGATCTTAGTGCCCTCTTTCCACCCTTTCTTGATGACCACGTTCAGAATCTTGTCCTCCGACCTCACGGTGCGGCCGTCCGGGTTCAGCCGCCGCCGCGTGATCTTCATCCGCTTTGTACAGCCGTGATAAATCTCCTCCAGGGACACCTTCAGCTCGTGGATCACGGGCGGGTCCTGCACTTTCCGGCGGGTGTGTATCTGGTCCTGGTGCCGCCGGTGGAAGCCGTTCACGCCGAAGTGGCCGAAGTTGCCGAACGGGTCGTCGTTGTCGTCGTCGATGTCCATGTCTTCGTGGTCGAAGCCGTTGGCCATGCGGTTGCGGTTTGAGCCGAAGAAGATGTCGAAGGGGTTTGAGCCCCCGAAGAAAGAGGCGAAGGTGGCGTGGGGGTCGCCGTGGAAGGTGTAATGGAAGGAGCTGCCCGTGTTACCGGATGAGCCGCCTCCAGTTTTTAGACCTAAAAGGGAGTAAGGAGGGAATGGGGTTAAAGAGAGAAGCATGGAGGCACAGAAGACAAAGGGAATCTTCCTAGTCTTAAAGGAGCAGTCCACATTAAAATAAAGTTATGAGCGGATTTTCATTCCCCATATGCATTTTGCACCGACACTTAAATCTGAAGTTGCATATATTTTGCCTTCCCTGGTTCCTCCCCTTCCTCTCAAGAAGAAATTTGACTAAAAAAGCTGTCCGTTTTCATTGGATACCTTATAGCTGTCCGTTTTCATTGGATACCTAGTGGTCTCTCTACCATTTATGCAATGCAGGCAGATCATGGCTGGTGGAAGAGGCCAGAAGGTTGCTTCCTGAAAACATTACTGCACCGTGCCTTAGTACTCCCCTCAAGAGCCCTGAAACAAGCAGTGTGCTGCCTCTCGGGAGGCATTATGCAAATATCAAGGGGCGGTGTTTCAGTCTGGAGGAGTGTATGTTCCTAGGCCAATTGCTTATGCATGCAAACCTCCCTAGGTAACGCCCACATGTGACGTTGACCCATCATGATTGAAGGAAGGGAAATCCAAGCTGGCCATACATTGCTTGAATTTTGGCCTAGCCCTGCTGAAATTCAAGCCGTGGGTGGCCTGCCTCAAAAGCCCTCAGCCCTGATGCAAGCAGTGGGCTGGCTCTTGGGAGGAGTGCCTCCAACACTGCGTTCTATGTATGAAGTATACAGTCCATGAACCCATCGCACTCAAAACCGCTGTTCCCAATAAAAGACAGGACATGTTATCCTACGTATGAAGTACTCTCCCCTAGAACATATCCAGCACCCCTCACCTTCCTCCCCGTACTGGTCATACACCCCCCTCTTCTTGGGGTCGCTGAGGACGTCGTAGGCCTCCGCGATCTCCTTGAACTTGTCCTCGGCGTTGGCGTCCTTGTTCTTGTCAGGGTGATATTTCAGCGCCATTTTCCGATAGGCCTTCTTGATCTCGTCCTCGTTGGCCCCATTAGGGATACCCAGAATCTTGTAATAATCTTTCCCCATGTCCACTGTCTGAGGCTTCTGGTCGAGAATCCTCGCACCTGGAAAGATAACATGGATGTTAGGTGGGCCGCTCAGATGTTTTCAAACATTGCAGCTAAGCACGGTGAAGATCAGTAACTCCGTCATCCAAGAAGAATATCAAACCAATACCTACTGTAAGTGTACAAGAGCAATGCAAAAACGACACACACAATACAAAAAATTTTCCTTAAATTTGCAGCAAAGAGAACCTGTCTAAGATGTTTCAAAGTTGACCTCCATTGTAAAATTTGAAAACGAGAGAGGATGGGAAGAGAAAGGGATTGAGAGGAGGAGGAGGAGAGAGAAGAGAGACAAAGAGAGAAGCTGGGGAGAAAGGACAGAGGGAGGGAGAGATATGGGGGGGGGGATGGGAGGAAGGCAGGAGGTGGGCAGAGAGAGGAAAAAGAGGCAACGAGACGGAGAGACAAGAGGAGGAATACCAAAGATAATTTCTCGGCTTGTCAACTACTTTTTTTTTATGGTAACCCAGTACAGCAGCCCATGTGGCTGCAATGGGGCCTGGGGGTGGGAGGGGGCCCATGTTAGAGAGGCTGCTGAGACAAAATTTGAGAACCTGTCTATGCTGTTTCAAAATTCACCTCCATGGGAAAAATGGGAGCAGTTGGGAAGAGAGAGGAATGAAGGGGAAGGTGAGAGAGAAGAGAGACAAAGACAGAGGCAGCAAGGTGTCCCTTTCTCCACAGGAGGGAATACGAAAGATGCTCACCAATTTTTAAACTATTTTTGTTTCTAAATTGCTATGTGCAATCACTAGTAACCATGTATGCTTAGCAGCCCATGCAGCTGCTATGGGGTTTATTATAGGTATATTAAGCATCAGAGATTGTTGATCCAGGGAATATAGATCACCATTGCCTGCACCCTCCTCCCCACACACAACACTCCCCCCCCCCCCCCCCCCCCCTTTGTTTTATAGCCTCATTCACATGGCTGCACCCTGTCAAGGAACCTATTTCTGCACCCTGGAGTCATAGGGGTTTGCTCACAGCCGGTATAAAACAATGATTGGCTGAAGGATGCTATGGCTGTGCACAAGTCCAAACAGTTACATGCGGACAGGGACGGATAAGCGGCCCCAGATGCACACAGTTTGCATCCATCCCTGTATCCATGTGACCGCTCGGATGTGCAGGTGCTTGCATACAGCCATGGCCAGTCTTTGATTGACAGATGAGTCGCAGAAGTAATTTTACCTTTGCACGTCTCTGGCTCATCGTATTAATATCTGGTTGTTGATGTGACACTCACACGGACTATTTCTGGAGGGTATTATGTTAGTGGTGATCATTCGATGACTCTTATGCTGACGGAGCTCCCAGCTTTATATAACCATGATACTACTGCTAACACAATGTGATGATCCAGAAATGACATTAATAAGGAAATACAACATCGAAATTAGTTAATTTGTAGTTCTGGGTGGAAACCATTCATGTTGGATATACCAGCCAGGAAGAACTGGGACATCCTATTGGATGCGGTGATTAAATGTCACCTTTGCCTTCTATTGAGGCAACTCAGGTGAATGGGGACTTAATCTGGTCAGGCGACATATGCTCAGTTGGTGGATACAGAGCAGGGTCCACCAAATATGATATTAGAATTAAAAGTGGAACCTGGTGGATGAAGTCCATCCCTGGATACAATAATGGTAGGTCTTGGATACGATAATGGTGGAATCTCCCTGTTATTTATGGTGGATTAAGTCCATCCCTGGATACAATAATGGTAGGTCTTGGATACAACAATGGTGGAATCTCTCCGTTATTTATGGTGGATTAAGTCCGTCCCCGGATACAATAATGGTAGGTCTTGGATACAATAATGGTGAGATCTCCCCGTTATTTATGGTGGATGAAGTCCATCCCCGGATACAATAATGGTAGGTCTTGGATACAATAATGGGGAGATCCCCCCCGTTATTTATGGTGGACTAAGTCCATCCCCGTATACAATAATGGTAGGTCTTGCATACAATAATGGTAGGTCTTGGATACAGTAATGGTGAGATCTCCCCATTATTTATGGTGGATTAAGTCTGTCCCCGGATACAATAATGGTAGGTCTTGCATACAGTGATGGTAGGTCTTGGATACAATAATGGTAGGTCTTGCATACAATAATGGTAGGTCTTGGATACAGTAATGGTGAGATCTCCCCATTATTTATGGTGGATTAAGTCCGTCCCCGGATACAATAATGGTAGGTCTTGCATACAGTGATGGTAGGTCTTGGATACAATAATGGTGTTCTTGGATACAATGATGTAGGTCTTGGATACAATAATGGTGAGATCTCCCCATTATTTATGGTGGATTAAGTCTGTCCCCGGATACAATAATGGTAGGTCTTGCATACAATGATGGTGGGTCTTGGATACAATAATGGTGGTCTTGGATACAATAATGGTTGAGATCTCCCTGTTATTTTTCCACTGTCTTCCTGACCTTTTGAACAACTGGACACTTGGATAGCTTCCCATATATGAGAACATTGAGCTCAAGTACCATCTGTACTCTTTTCTTTGGAGAAAAGATAACAAACTGTTCACTGTTCATGTTCTGCAAGTTGTCAACAAGCTTGTAGGTCCTAACGGCGTAGCACTTTGGGCCGGGGACTAGTACATTTCTCATTACCCTTCACTGCCCCTTTAAATGTGTTGATGCTTTTTGGAACAGATGAGATCGGAGCTCCTTTGGATTCATAAAATGGTCATTATTTTATTTTCATGAGTCAGACAATTCAGTAGGTCCTAGAACCATACCCGGTCCAATCTGAGCAATGCAAGTCGGAGGATAAGGACTGGTTTGAGTATGACTTTCACATGGGGGCGATGAACCACCATTCCAATATTATAGTGCACAAGGAATTTTTAACCTGCCCAAGTCAGCTCCAACTCTTTTCAATTGAGCGGAGGGAAGGAAGAGCTAACCATGCCCCCCTAATGGATGTCAACCAAGAGGCAAGGAAAATTATGAAGGGTCCTTGAAGGCAAGGTTGCCATCCCTTTAATTACTGTCACATATGAATTACATAGATTATGTGGCTAATTTTATGTAGGTGACTATTAATAGTACAGCATTTGCTACATTTAGGTTTTTAGACTATTAAGCTAACTGTAAAGCAGGCTCTTAGGTGTACTTGAATGGACCTTTGGATATTTGTAGGAGCATCATGCAAATACCGGCTACAGTTTCCAACTTGGACCTTTGGTTTGGTATTGGCCCATAACTATGGTGGTCCGCTTGGTATGGGAGGTGGGCCCAAGCTCGACTTCTGGAACTGAACAATGTATCTGCATAATGCATTACTCCAGATTTTCAAGGCTTCTGGGGGCCCTCATGAAGGCTTCTAGGTGCCTGCTGTACGGTCACAACTGGGGCACTTTAAATCAATGAGTAGGCAACCCAGCCTATGCCATCCTTCGCAGTAAGACATCTGCCCATCTATGGCATTTAAGCTAACCCAGACAATACCTGCACCATTTTATTAATTTTCTTCTGTTTTCCGGACAGACTTGAAAATACACATTACTGACAGACGGCGGGAGTATACCTACCCCCGAAATGGGCGGATAAAATTCCCAAGGTGATGCCCACTCTGAAAAATGTGGTTCTTCTCTTCTCCTGAGCTCCGTCTCCGATAGATTTGATAAAGAAATCGTTGCCGGCTTTTTGTCTGGATTCACACTTAAACATGATTTGTGGGCCCAAGAGCTTGTTGGGGTGGGCTTCCCACTGTGGCGTTAGGGTTGCAAGCTTCTTTCTAGGCTTTTAGGCAGACATCTAGTAAAAGGAAACACAGTTTGTTTGGAGGCAAGTAGGACCCATAAATCAGGTGATGGAAGGAAGATGAGTGTTGACATGAGGGGCGTGAACATGTAATGAGGTGGCTACAAAACGGTGTTTCACAATGGACTTGTTTCTGGGTCAAAAGGTAACTCAAATTCTGTAGACCTAGGTTTATTCTTGGAAGGAGATCTCAGATATGTCTTGGTGAAGAGGCTGGTATCCACTCCTCACAGCAGGATGGTACCAAACCTTTACTTCACACAGGAACAACTTGTGGAAGCCTCCAAAGCCCAACTGCAGGTTATGAGGGTTACTGATGCTTAGGCCCCATCCATCCTCATGGGACTGGCTGCAAGTGCACCTCTAGGCAGTCTGCCAGTACCTATTATGGTGTAGAGGTATTTTAACTCTAAACCTCCCTCTCCACTTGCCTCAACTCTATTCTTTGATACAAGAAACCATTACCAACAGCCAAGAAAACGGGCAGAAATTGGCAACTTGATCTTCCAAATTTGGGAAAATCTTCTGTTCTGTGGATATTTTTTTTTAACCAGAAGTCATTTACCTCCCATCAGCTTGTAATACCTAAGAAGAACCTGAAACCTTTACTAGATGTAAGACTGCTGGGCCACCAAGACCAAATGAAAACCAAGCCAAAATGTTATCCATGAGGCACCTACAGGTGAAGGTAAACCATTCCTACAAAGGATAAAAAAATTTGGTTTGACAATGGCTTTGAACTTGGGTCACTTGGGACATTCCAGGTACGGGGTGAACATGGATTACCAGGATATGAAGAGAATGGCATGGAGGTCAAATGAACATGAACCGTTTACACATGAGAAATACATTGACTTCTGAGTGGAACACTACACAACATTTATCATCAACATACAGATTTCAAGAAGGCACAAGAGGAGGGTCGGAAAGGATTGAGAGCAAGTGAAAATTAGGACTCAACAGGCTTGGCCACCTGTATGGTGACCATATATAAAATGAGATCTCCGCAGTACTGGCAGAGAAGACAACAACAAAAATATGACAAAGATTCCAACTTTACTTTTAATAAAACACATTCTGTATCTACTTCATGTCTTGGGGACCACACAGGAAGTTAGGAAAAATCACCCCAAGGATTAAGATTCCTGTGCAAGTTTCGACTTGCCTAGCACTATGGTGAGGCATGTCACATGTTCCCTCATACCATACTACAGGGTATTGTTTGGATGCAGATTGTGGTGATGGGGGAGTGTGGGGTAGTTAAAGCTCCTTATGGTCCCTACTCACTATGGGCGAAAGTACAGGAAACACACCGTGAAAGGAAGGATGTGATGTGATGTGATGGTTACCAGTAAATTATACAAAGTAACTTCAAAATTGCTGAAGCTGCTTTACGTACACTCTGAGCTGAATAATACATGAACATTTCTTTATGTATAATAGATGTATCGTTATATAGCGGTACAGCCACAAATTAAATTTCTATTTATAGATTTTAATTACACAGAGGCAGCAATATCTCCTCATTATGTGTGAATGTTGTGCTTCCTGCACAAAGATGGTAATAAGCGGGCCCAACCACAGTGCTGCAAGAAGCTCTCTGGCCCATAGCAGTTTGGTGAAAGTTGAAGGAAGCTCAGTATGAAATAGGAAAAGACTCTGCAGGTGGCACGCTGATTGTCCCATCTATAATACAGAGAGGGCCCAGAGCAGCCTCTCCAAACCTTTCTACCATGGAGGAACACCTAAAAGAACATTCAGGTCTCGGTGAGCCCTGCTAAAAAAATGAATATAGCTACAGCTGATGGTACACGAGCCACACCATATTGGTGGTCAAATGGAGGGGCACTGGTGGAGAAAAATAATGCCCATTACAATGGTGGTCCATGAGAAAACACTCAATTGAAAGGCTCATTTCAATGGTGGTCAGTGTAGGGGCCCCACACATTGGTGGTCAGTGAGAAGAATGCTCCTTACATTGGTGGTCAGTGAGAAGAATGCTCCTTACATTGGTGGTCAGTGAGAAGAATGCTCCTTACATTGGTGGTCAGTGAGAAGAATGC